ATGCATATTTGAAATTTGAGATTTCAATTTATTGATAGGTCATTGTCAACCATCAGAATGAAGTCGTTACTGTCACAAGACATGTCTAGTTGTTGAATATATCTTCCTTGTCATCTATCCCAACCAAAAACAATGCGCTCTCTCTTATTTTCCAAACTCGGTGGTAAAGGAATACAAAAAACAAAAGACTGAACTATGGCACTTCCAGTTCCACAAGCCTTGCATCAGCAATGTAGTCTTCAATTATCCATACTGGAATTCGATATTAGAAGACAATGCTACTAAGTAGTGGGTAATGTTGTGTATTGGTCTAAAAGAGGTAATGGGGGGATGATCCCTTTTATACCCACTTATAATCTATATACGGCAAGTGCACCCCCTTCATCTCCATCAACTGCGAGCTTTTCTATCGGGGGTCCAGGGCCGGACCGTGAATGGTCTGTGCTACGGATCCGTTGCATGCTAGGTATGTAAAGCAAAAGAATCAATGAATAAAAATAGAATGTACCCTGGTCTTACATGCTCTTTTTCATATCCTCCTCTCTTGATTTTCAGGTGTGAACTATAAAAACACCTCGATCAATTAAAAGTGCAGTGGCTAATGATCCCAGATGAATACAGTTCCAAGGGCTAGGTGAAGTATCTCTCCTGAAAGTTATTTCTCTATATGCCGACAGATATACCTTGAGTAATGAAAATATTGAGATGAGACAGGGAGCCGTCAATATAAATGAGACTTCTCATCATTTGTATTCATCGACTGTATTTGTTATTCGGCAATGAAACCCTCCAATGGCAACACGAACTCACATATTCGCAACTCAGACGCTGTCATTCTTCCTTCATCCTCTGTTTAGTTGGTGGGAAAGGAATATAATCATGGGGCGACAAGCACGTTGCCCCACCCTTTGCTATACTCTGATATAACGTCTCTTCATCTTAATGACATTGAAGAAACAACCGATATAAAAGCTATAGTTCAGAAAGAACTCGCATTACTAAAACCACGCAGTGTGAACACTCTAATAGCTGTTAATGTTAACAGTACATCCTCATCCTCATCACCCACTCACAACACCACTCCCTCCTTCCCGCCAAATCACACCAACGGCAAATACTCCATGCCCCAGATCCTCACCGCCTTCCCCAGATTCACTACTCACCCATCAACCAATAGAATCACTTCTTTCAAATACCAAAAAGTTTTGTTGCACATCTCAAATTTTGGTAAAGTTTTCCAACTGACACCCGGTGGTCAATTAATTAATTACCTTAAAATTTTGACATTTCCCATCGACTGGGAATAAGAGGGCTTTAAAAAGTTATTTCCGGGTCGGTGTTTGGAAATGTTGGTTGTGTTGGTGCTGTTGTTTATCTCATCTGATGTTATCTTATTTGGTTTTTGTTTGTGGTTGGGTTTTTCTACTTCATGGAGATTCACTGTGCGTCTTGGAGAGTTTTATTTGGTCACAAATCATTGTGTTATACATCTGGGTACCTCTCGAGTTTGCGGGATGTTTTTGGATATCACATAAAGATTTGGAAGGTTGATATGTTCCATTGATTTGGAAGAAAAACTGTTCGAAATTCGTACCAACTATGTTTTTTGAGAATGTGGTTAGCATTTTATGATTCTCATTTCGCATTCAGATTCACAATTTGCCTATGGAATCGATCGTACTCCCCTTCATTCTTGGGTATGAAGGGGGAGGTGGTGTGATCTTGGATGAGTGTCAGATGAGTTGTGAATTTGAATATACTCGATTTTGGAGTCCATCTTCTCGTTTTTGGAAGACTTGATGTGACTGAGAGGTGCTATCTATCTATAAATCCTTGCGATCACTTCATCGTGTTTGCTTTTGCTGTCTAAATTTTATTGTCAAGTCCGTGTCTATCGTAAGACTGACGTTATGTCATTTGTTCTCATGCGTGCTGTTCCTCCTCGCAAAAAATCGGAAACGATCAGATGATCTCCTACTCTAGTTTTTCTGGAGAGATATGTCTTACTGTCAAAGCGACTTGTATGTCATACATATTAGGGAGATACTGAACAGGCTACAGATTATTAAGGTCTCCTATGAGATAATGTAGCAATGACACCGAGCTTATGATTTCTCATATCATTTGCTCGAGGATGCAAAGCTGGAAACCGTACAGTAAGCTGTGGAGAATGAGCTGATCTCGACATGATAGTATCTTCTCTTCCTTTGAAGACATAAGCGGAGGAAACATGGTGAATACAGTAGCGCCCAAGTGGATGATTCACAATATTGTCTAATTTTCCAACAGACCCCGCTGAAATACGAAACATCAAATATAAATACCTCAGCACGAAGTTGCATATCTAATAAGCATGCTGCAAAGGCACTTGTGGCATCGACAGCTGTAGTGGTTTCGGGTGAAGATCACAATGACGCACCAAGCAGAGGAATAAATACATATAAGTCCACGTTCGCGGAGCTAATGCTAGATCTGATGTCTGCATTTTCTCCGTTGTCAATTCAGAACTTGCTGTTATTTTCATACACTTTTAACCCATTGAGATGACTATCATCGGATGGTTTCTTGTTTTATATCTCTCACCTTCAAGACGGTGAGTGATGTATGTCAGTTCTTGCGATTGCGATTCCACCGACTCCGAGCCTTCTGTTTTTTTTACTGAATAAAGAGGCGCCACTTCCGCTTCGACCATCGTTCTCTCTCTTCAGGAGTCCTTGACTAGGTACCTACCGCTCATGGTCGAGCGGTTGTGCGTTTTTAAGTACCTTTTATAGTTGGGTGAATGTGAATAGATTGTGCATGTGGGAAGAAATAAAGCTGATGAGAATGATAGTGAATACTATATATTCTATTTCTTTTCAGATGGAGTAATTAGTATTACTTACGGTACGTATATATATACATATGAACCACCAGACATAATATTTTCAACCATCAAAGCAGAAGAGATACCTACGTGCCATGTGTAATGCCTAGGTACCCTTCCGCACCTTCCCAGAAGTCCAGTTCATGGCGTTTCATTTACAGATCGATTGCATTTTGTATAATTGCAACAACGGATGAACACATAATGGCTGACATCCAGATATTGTGATATATGATCCAATCTCTTAATCTTATTATCATTTCTACAACCATTTTCATCTTTCTTATAAAATCCTTAAGAAATGAGAATCATGAGATGAGATCATCTCGAAAACTGTAAAAAGACATGTTGGACATGTCTAGATAATCGCTGTAGAAAAAATACAAAGACATAAGCTCTCTTAATCCTCCATTGATCGATTCGAGCACAAGACCAGGATCATGAAGGCATCTAAGTAGCAGCAGTACCAATTTGGGAGATTTTTGGACGCTTTTTGCAATATTGCCCCTTTGTACGTTGAAGGGAGTAGTAATATTTATAGATGTTGATGGAGATAGAGGTTTGAAGAGTTGAATATGTGGACTTCCAAGGTTGTCGTAAGTAGAACGATGAATACCAAGGAGGGGTATCTTAGAGGCTGAAAGGGGTAGTTGGGGGCATGTGTAAGTGTGTTATTGAAGAGGGGTTATTCACTTCAATAAGTTTCTTGTTTTCCTCTTTCGGAATTTTCTATCAGAGAAATGCCCCGCTTTTCTCCTCAATATTCCACTCCATTCATATATGTATATGTATATGCAATTGCTACAGCTTGAAACTATGGCTTTTAACAAATTGCAATCCAAGTCCTTACAGGTATTCGTGTCTCGGTGGGAGAAAAATATCACAAATACTGCGGTAAGTCATGCTATGGATTTTAAACTCATCTTAATCTCAAGCTGGGGTTTTCAGAATTACGTGCCAAAGACAGTAGAAGCGCTATATTTGGCTGATAATTTTATAGCTTTAGAGATATTCATATCATTGACGATGTTAGAAAGATATACAATTGTAAATTCAGGATACAGTTTCTTGTTGTCGTAAAATTCGTACTTTTCGCTGTCTATTTCACTAAGAAATTAGTCGATCATGAGACGGTAGTCCTTCTAAGAAGCTTCCCCCCCTGAGAATACCCGCTCGGAACAGCAGAACTTGTAGCAAGTTTCCTTTCCCATCACAAAGAAAACCAGTCAGACATGCAGACGCACCCTTTGAATATTGGTATCCGCCATCACCTTATGGTATATCTAAGAAAGTTTTATCTGTTCAATCCTATTTAAGCCAGACATTTTCGAAATCCTTTGGTAAGGTAGCTGGGGTGTTCAATTTGAGTGAATAATAGATCATACGTGTATACTTCGTAGATGCGGGGCTGGCTCATATCTGCTTTAGCTGGGTACCTACCTAGGTAGATACCTAGGTAGGTGATTGCGCCTATGGTAACATATAATTCCACTAACAATGATTATCTAAATCCGGAAGGATATCTATACCTTGGTTGTAAAGCTTCTTACACAATCTATATCCAAGAAATATTCAACAAAACAGCCAACACATGGTTCTCTTGCTGCCTCCAGCCAGCACCATATTCACTATCTATTCCCTGGCCTTAAATTTCCTGGAAAATCCTTGCACAAGCATTCCGATCCTAGATTCACAGATATAATACTCTTTATTGTTGTCTTTATCTAATTCTTGCTGTTATCATTCTTACAAAAAGATCAGACTATAGCACTTTCACTCACGAGAAACGCCGGATAAAAAAGTGCATAGAGTGCTGGAATACTGCAGTGCAGATATCTTATATTTCTCAACGTCCTGTCTAGTACAAGACTACTGGACCTGATTGAAGCACGGTCTAGCTTTAAGCTTGAGAAGGAAAAAAAAAAAAACACTTGACAGGGAATGATACCGTATAAGAAAATAAGTGGGAATCCTGTGATTTGCCGGTTGATCCTATCAGACTCGCGTGGTTTAGAGTGCTAGGCATCGCCAGATTACTTCTATTAAATCTCTAGCTCGCACAGGTTCGTGCACAGCAAAAGCTGTTCTTGAAAGGGATATTAGGAGATGGGTGAATGATGTTCCTTAAAGATATGTGAATAACATCTGTTATTTGAGGTATATGTGAGTACAGTGGATAACTAGCAATATCATATTTGCAGCTGAAAGGTCCCACTATTCAGACGTTGAGCAAAATGATTGAAATCCAATGAATATTGATGAAATTTTTCAAGAATCATCAAACCCGTGATTCGCCCATTCACATATCATCCGTATGCTAATGTAGACTCACTTCTTAGATTCACATTTTATTAACCGCTGCTTATTGGCCCTCACCCACAAATATCCTGATCACGACTTCCCCCCATTCCTCGGTCTCTCATAAAAGTAAAACTCAATCTTAGGCCTTTCCTGCCTCTCCTTCCACTTCTCCGGCACATCAACCTCAATATACCTATCTGGCACCGCTTTAAACCCATGACTTTCATATAGATGTTTTGCAATGACCGTCCCCTCGATATACGCTGGTAGACCGAGGGAATCGGCTATGGTGGTACCATATTGCATTAGAAGCGTACCGGCGCCGAGACGCTGATAAGAGGGGTGCGTGGTTAAGATGTCGAGGACTGTGAGATATTAGGATTGCGCATTATGGATTATGGGGATGATCGGAAATTGAGATGAAGACAGGAGGAGAAAGAGAAGACAGAACTTACTGACGCAAGGTTCGCCTTTCGTTCGACTAATTTGATGTTGATGAATCCAATTTATTAGATACTCAGCCCATTCGTTTGAGTCTTGATCAGCGTGCCAGTCGACAGGAATCCGTTCTTTCTTCTGCTCCTCGCTCAATGGTTCTGTATTTATGAGCCATTTGGCTGCACTTATGAGGGTCCCTTGATTAACTATTAATATCCTTCTTTCAATTTCTGTCCTTGACCTCCTGAACTACACCCCAACTTAAAAGCACAGCAGAGAAGTGAAGTGAAAGCAAAACATACCATCCCCATCGACAACCTTCACATACTTCGCTCTCTCATCTCCGACCCAATTATCAACTAATCTTTTGACTGCCTTTTCCCGTTCTTCCGTTTCAGGAAATAGGACAAAAAAGAATGGTTCATGAGGATTACTGAAAGCGGCAATTTGTTGAGCGAGGATAGCTGAACCATCCGTCAGTGGATCACAGGGAAGAAGGCGAAGATTGGATTTAGAGGCGGTAATAGGAATAGGATGAGGGATGCTGGTGGAGGGGTGGAAGGCTGAGTGGGATGCCATCTGGGTGGTTATGGCGGGGATGTTGGGGGTGAGTATGAACCGAAAATGAACAGTGTATGCTGATAGCGATGATGCAGTAAAGGAAGTGTACGATCACCCTTCCAGCAGATCGATTAATTTGCAACATTAATCTTACGGAACGAACTGCAGATCCGGCAATTGCAGTTAGGCGTGAAATGAACTGCCAATAAAGGCATGTCAGAGTACAATTTCGAAATATGCATACACACAGACTCAGACGCCACCCGTTCGTAGTCCGCAAATCGGCTTATGGAATACCACTGTGATTGATTCCGTGGCTCTTACAGGTGAGGTTTAGCTTTCACACCGGGGAAAGAATCTGAAAGTCCTGAACCCCTGTGCGAGTTTGACAAATTGTTGGAAGATATGCTTAAATCCGTTGATGCACACGGAGCGACAAAGCAGCGAGGACACCAAGACAGAAAAGAAGCAGGCAAAAATTGAACAAGCATAATTCTAAGCGTAAGGATCAACAAGCCTGTTGGTACGGATAAGCCGTTGAACTAGGACCAGGCCAAGGAGTTCGTGACCCCTGTGAATTTGCTTATGAAAGAGGGGGAAGTAAATTAATGTGGGTCATGTACGGACATACAATAGTTACAGGACGACTATCTATAAAGCGCGTGGCTGCAAATACGATGTGATATTTGCTGATTGGATTATCTGAACTTCCCAGCACAACAGTTTTATCCAGGCCCCAGAAAGCTATGATCATACGAAGGATTCTCTTTCATCAGATTTGCCGGCTTTAGAAGAGATAATTAGATTGGTCCCGACAGTTTGGAACCCAATCGGCAGATCGCGATAATACAAACATTGGGTCAAATGGGGCTTTAATTCCATAAACGGTAATGGTAGACCCTTTTTGCGTTCTTGGTCCGATGTTCTGCGATGGATATATGGAATTCTTTCGAGGATTCGAATGATGTGGCGTGCTGTGAGAGCTGGCTTGCATGAAAATTGCACAAACGACGAAAAATGTGAATTATGATTGATAAAAAATGGTATTTTGCGAGTTCGCCGAACTCTTCCATTGTCTAATGAGAATTACAAGATCTATAATCTAATGCAAGTAGCCAAGAAATGATAGATGATTCTGTCAAATGAAAACAATGTGATGTACTATATACTGACATCCGCCATAAAGAGATCACTGCCTTCTTCTGATAGGACCAACAATTGGCCACTTGTAAGCATGCTTACCCCAAATCATGTAAAAAACCAAGCTATAAAGGATAGCAGCAACAAAAATAACGCAAGACCAATTCATGGTAACCGGAGTAACGACTTGGGTATTAGGCCAGAAGCTGAAAAACATGGTGATAATCGAATAAATCAGCCCAGCGATGTTGGCAACTGGACCAAGAATTGGACCCAATTTCCATGGTCCCCAATGTATCTTGTCTTTGATTGGGTCTTTTCGAAGGCGTTTCTTGAGAATCAAGATGACTGTAAAATCAGATTGTTAACATTGCCTATCAAGAGTAGATTTTGGAGCAATGTGAGGAAAATGAGGAGCTGATGTTGTATTAAGAAACAAAACAGGGTTTCCAATAGCCTGGACTACAGGTCCACAATGGCAAGCTCCGAATCCATGCACCTGATCAGAGCATTCAGATGCTTTGAAACGTTGAATTCAATTAGAATTTCCAAATAGTCTGAATCAGTGATATCATTTCAAATATTGAACGGAACTACTTTTGAACTTTTGACATATTCCATCCAGCCTGTAAGTCTGAGCCAATAAAGCATCGAAGCCGAAATAATATATGGGATAAAACGAAATAGTGGAGGATCAATTGGAGATAGAAGTAAATGTAGTCGAAGCAAAAGAATTAGTGGACGATTCACTCACTTGGGATCATATAGCTGGTAAAAAATGCCGCCACGTTAACAGAGACAATTGAGTTGAATGCTGCAGTACTGCCAATATTGATAAGTGCCAACAGGAGTGAAATCACTGCACTGACAAGAATAGAATATATAGGTAATGCTGTTGGTTCATGAACCTGTAGTCAGAAAGTTAGGTAAAAGTGATAAGATTATTTGAATACTTGTGCTTACACGAGATATATACGCGCTACCTGGCACTCCATTGTCTCTTGCGAAAGACCATAATAAACGGGAAGCAGTCGCCATGATACCAATTGCCGCGGCGAGAAGGATGAATAAGATGATCAATGTCATACCAGTGGCAGCGGCGTTACTATTAGTAGCTCCCCTGAATATTTCGATGAATGGAAAGCCAGTAGCGGAGGTCAGAGCAACATCGATATCTCCTAGACAGAAGAGAAGAGCTATAAGCAGTGCGAAACCCAGAACGCCATTCAAGACAATGCTACTGATCATCGCCCAGGGTATAATTGTAGAGGCATTGTGGACTTCCTCACTCATATGGCAAGCAGAATCGCCTCCTGAGACAATATTAGATCTGTCTTAACAGCGAATGTGGGGGAGATAAACGAAGTTGATCTTACCGAGGAACGAGAAAACGGAAGTAATCAAACCAATGAAGAAAGAAGTTCCATTTGACGACCACCCCCCACCATTGATAAATGTAGCAAAAACGTCGCTTGGTTTTCCATGGGGTGCAAGGTAGACTAGAGGAATAAGGATACCGAAAAATCCAAGAATATGGATGCAAAGAACAAATCCTTCAATCTTTGGCAACCAACGAGCCAAACACGTATTGACGAACAGAACCAAAGCTAGAACAGCATAGAATATCAGAGTCGCTTGCCATCTTTCAGGAACGTAAGTTGGATGATTCAATATCACTAAAGCCTGGATCAATGTTGCGCAGAGGAAAGCCATACTTGCTTGACCTGCTTGCCAGCCAATAACTGTAAGCCAGCCTGTCATGTATGATAGGAATTTCGCGTGGGATTTAGGTGCAAGAATCGAAACCCAGTGATATTGGCCGCCACTCAATGGCATCCTGAGTCCGCTCGTCAGATTTAGAAACTCGCGATGGAAGGCTATACGCACATCGAGGACATCTCTGCCAAACTTGCGACGGTACATAATGTACCAAAGAAGCAAAAGATATAACCGTACTGGATATGTAACGTTAGTATGTGCTACCAGAATTTGAGTCGAGGCGAGACTCAGATAGAAAACTTACAACTAAGCCTGCCGGTCCTCCATTTTGAAACCCGTACAGGAAGACGGCAAACATTCCTTCCCATGTTGAAAGCAGACTACAGACAAACCCCGCGATCGACAAAAAGCCAAAGTTGCGCTACAATATTTCAGCTTTTGATGATGGTATTTTTCTTTAGCACTTACCTTCAACTCTTGACGTTTTCCAAAATACGCCATTTCTTGATCATCTCTGCTGGCGTTGCCTTTCGACCGTGCATGAGGTATTTCATCAGAAGATGTTGACCCTAGCCATCACACCCAATTCCACATGTTGTCTCCATGGTTAAGATCGACTAGTTTTATCAGGAGAATACCCAATCGCCGAGCTCGCTCGTGAACGACAAACAATAGTAATGGAAATGAAGAGAAATAAAGCAAAAGAAAATTATGACGGGGATTGAGATTTATCTGCCCTTCTTCAAGATACACTGCAGTCTGCATAATAGAACCCTTGCATGCATCACCGAGTGGAAGATTGGAGAAAAGAAATCCTTGACACCACCCAGAGGAAAAACTGTCTCATTGCAACCATTTTGGTAAATACCCGATGCATCAAATGGTAGCGAGGTGGTCTGTATATTATGATACGTTCAAAGGTGCAAGGGATATACGAATATGCATTTTGATCATACTCCGCTCCAGCTTGGAAGGAAACAAATTGTAGACTCTGAGCAATGTCAGCTTTCTCGGTTTTCTACTAGGTAGTTATGACAGTAACGGGCTGAGCGGGGAAGCCTTTCCTATTAAAGCTAGCGTTTCACGTGGGTTCGGTAAATGCTAGTTCGTGCGGAGGGTTAATTTGATAGACGCCTCATCGCCGCCGTAATACACACATTCAACCGTCCAACATTTATTACTATTCACCTTATTGTAACGACGGGCATAAAAACCATTCAGCCGACCTTTTAAATGTGGTACCGGAATGTTCTTGAACTTGGCACAAAGCTAAATATTTACATCCACCATTGTCACTCGAATTAACAAGCTGGTGAAGTATCTCTCAAATCTCAGTACAAAACTCCCGGCTGTCTGGAAATCATCTTGTCTCCTTATGGGCTTGTCCGATCGTAAACTGGGCAAGCATTTGTCAGTATTCAATATTCTAGGTACAGGACCATGCTCGTATCTTTAATTGATTATCACATGACAGATCCTGTGTAGCAGAGTCTTACGACAAATTAGGTCCAGCATCTAGACTTGCTATTACCCGATATTGTGATTCATATCTCATTAATATCAGGTGACAATCTTGTGTAACCTTGTCAGCGCGTATGGCGCTGCTGAGGACCCTGACTCGTTTCATCCAAGCTAATGATTAACACGAAAGAAAAGTTTGTTTGGATCCCAACTCTGTTGTGCATGATCGCCATACCGTGGCACAGCTTGAATAAATTGTGGTGTTGATGTCTGGGATCAAGGAGCGAGCAAGCGTTCATGGGGATCTTATTGCAGTTGCGACGCCTCAGAATCTCTCAAAACTCGGACTCTACGGAGCTCCGAATAGCTATTGCCATATTTCCGAATTGAATTGAAGTGAAAGATTTGATCCAGTGATTGGAGTCTTGTTTATTATCGTTTCTATCAACATATTCATCACATATTCATCAGATATGTCACTGCTATGGGCATAATTCTACCTTCAACAGTTGGAAGTGACCAGGAGTAAGTACTAAAAACTCGGAACCACAGAATTTCTTTTTCTAAATGCCAACCACATGTACCACGAAGCTGTGCTCCCTTGCATTGTTCCAGCAGAGTTCTTTTTTCAACTCCGTGACTCAGAAAGTTACAAGTTCTTTTGCGATCGACAAATATATGCAAGTGTTGACATTGGAGGGATGTATATCTCATTTCATCGCCATTCATCCACATTCTTTACCATCTCTGTATTGTTCTTACAATGACATCGATACCCATATTCTCACGACAAATCATCATATCGAGCCATAATGAAGGCCCTGCGGTTAATCTTGTATCATGGATAGGGTTGAGTACAATGATACTGAGTGTTGGAGCGAGGCTTGGGAGTAAATTTATGGTTGTGAGGCGATGGAGTACAGACGATAGTTTGATCATAGTTGCGATGGTTAGTATATTATAGCACGTCAAATCCTGAGAGCGACACTAATAGTCTAGTTCTTTGGGATATGTCATAGTATTCTTCTTTCAATGATGGTTAATAATGGACTTGGTCGGGATCAAGATACTCTCAACAGGAAGGAGCTGGAAAACTACCAAAAGTTCGTCCCCTTTAGGATGTTCGTTGGAAATTTTGTTCTTTACTCAAAGATTTCTGAATCTTTTCTGACTTCGAGACAGTATGCTTACGCATCCCAATTGGTTTATATTCCGACTCTCTGCTTTGCGAAATTAAGTACATTGTTCTATTTACGAGCCTTAACGCCGGACTCCAATTACGCAATATTCAATCGAATTACCGAGATATGTGTGATATTATGGGCTTTAAGCGCCGAGATTTCTATCGTGTTCCAGTGCGACATGTCGAACCCTTGGGCCATTCTTTCTACAGGCAAATGTTTCAATATCGTAAGCTGAGTCGCTGTGTCTATCTTGGCACAAATAGCTAACATCAAAAGGGCGCATTCTGGAAAGCTATTGGGGCCTTTGACATAGCAACTGATTGTGACATCATATTGTTGCCGATATTTCTCGTTTGGGGGCTCCAGATGCCGTTGAGGCGCAAAGCCCTTGTTTTCATAGCATTTGGGACTAGAATATTGTAAGTGGAAATTTGGTATCCTCATTAGAGGTAGATAATCTAATGATCTGGCAGCATTTTACCCTTATCAATAGTGCGACTCGTCGTGATTTCTTCTTCGGGATCTCCCACGCTTCCAAATCAAACACTAATTTCGTATCACAATTACCTCTGGACCTCTGTCCAACTAAACTCTGCAATTTTCTTCGCATGCTTGTCATTCCTCAAACCATTTATGGAATCAATGTCATCCGGTGGTCTTGCCGCATCCGTCAATCCAATGGATTCATCCTACAGCAACAAGCAATCCCCCTCCAATTCAAAGTTAAGCAACTTCATCTCTGCTCAATCTGGTTGGAGAGCCTCCAAGAAGAATTCTTCCAGACCACCACAAGAGCTTCGCACTATATCAACGTTTCAAGACTACGATGAAGATGACGAAATCTTGACTCCTACTACCACATCTCCAAATTCTAATCTCAAGAGATCGTCACCTATGTTTAATATTCGATTTAATAATACAGATACGAATGGGAAGCTGAGTTACGAAGGCGAGGAACTTGGCACGTTGAGACCTGACGGAGCGATGTCCTTTGCGCATATTAGACGCTCGACACCAGATGATGCCGCGGAAAGGAGTACGGTTGGTAGTGATAAGATGATTATTAGACGTACCACTGAATGGGACGTGCGAGAAGACTTCGAGAGCATTAGGGGAAGAAGGACTCATTCTGGAGATAGAGGCGTTGATGAGGAGGACTATGAGATACACAAGGCTAGTATGGAGAGGGGAGATGATAAAAATTGGGGTGAGAGAGGTACACATTATGCTGGGTAGATGGTGGCGTTAAAAATCTGAAACGGAGATGAAAATTCATACTTGATGGAACAGGGACGACGGTTTGCAAAGGCTAAACACAGGATATACCACAAGGTCAGGGAAGGCGAATTAACGGTTGGTGTTCATGGATATCGGGTGAAAGGATTAATTGGGCCTACTGGATGGGATATAACTCACTGTCTACTTGCACAGTTTCATTTGTTTTGTGTCAAAAATAATAGCATAATCAATCATTCATTAGACAAAATTTCTTCACGGTAGAAACCGTACCCCTTTCGAAATTTTGGCGTTTGATTGGCGATACTGCACCTACAAACACCATGCCCCACCAAGAAACAAACGCACTTCCTTCAAGATCTTAATTCACTGAAGTTTTGCATTCAAAACCTTATTTATCAAATGACAATAATACATCTGTCCCTTCATAAAATCCTAACAATTGCGTCTCTGCTGACTGTACATAATCCTTCATCCCAATCCCCCACTCTATAAGCACCAGCCTCATTTCACTCGCCTGCCTACAACACCCAGAACTCACCACGGTATCAATATAAAAGAATCTTTCTCTGAACCAAAACTCCATAATACCATTTCCGCAAACAAATTATTGATCTTAAAACGCAGGCAAAAGAGCGATAAACTTCTCCTTCTGCAATTTATCCAGTTCTCACCACTCCCCACAGCTGCGCCATCCACCACCCAGCATGCCAACCTACCTTCTCGAGATAGATCTTTCCACCAAAGACACCTTCGAACACTTTACCCAACTTATCAAAACCCTTTCCAACACTCCACCTGATTCCGACGCCCATTCCGAATTATCAGAAGCTGATTCCGTAGGCCTTACGCATGATCCCGTAGACAGCGGAATTCTCGTCATTCGTGAGTAATCCTCTTCTTACATTTTCCACTGATTTTCAACTCTACATCATTTTCTTCGCCAATCCAAGAGAAAAGAGTTTCGTGATGAAAGAATAAAATACTCAAATGATAATGTAATGATATTAACAACCCCAGATTCCCATACCCTAGCAACCCTCACCAAGATCCTAGAACCCCATCTTCCTTACTTTCCCATCGCGCCCACAATTACTCAGACGTCAGAGAAGGGAGTCTACGATCCTGCTGGGTATCCTGTACAGCAACTTTTGATTTATGTACCGTTGGTTTCTGGGTCCGATGATGATGCTAGTGCTAATATCGATGGGAATGAAGATGGTGGGGAAACAAAAATCCAGAAATTGAAGACATTATTTGATGTAAGATCAATTCAACTTGAGCGGGAAGGGAAAGTAAGTGGGATGCGACAGGGTGAAATTATTATGCCTTCTTCATCTCCAGTAATCTCTTCAGAAATGCAGTATGAGGGTCGAAAATCTAGGGTCTGGAGTGTTTGGCTTACGTGGGTGTCGGCGAAGGAAAGGTATCATGAAGGTCGTGATGATGGAAAAGAGGGGAAGGTTGGGCAGGAGAAAGAAAGTCTTGCGGGGCAGATCGATTGGAAAAAGATGGGGGTGCTTGGATGGGAGGAAAGAAATTGGATGTTTAGCAGTTTGGGGGAGTTTCTGGCCAAAGATCGGGGTAGTTGTGTTGTCATGTGAGGAGGTGAGATATTTGTAATAAATGAGGAAGGCATGGAGCGGGAAAAAGAATCTACTATTAGTTGTGGTTTTCGTTTTCCAATGCAAAATCATTCCACAATTTCACGCAAGTTTTAAATAGAGTGAGCAACATTGTGAAGAAGCTTTGCAATATTTGGCACACGTCAAGTCCATTTAAATTACTCTTAACCACAGCATTAAGCACTATTTCTATTTTCAAGATACAAAAGCAATGGTGTGTAATACTAATACATACAAAATTCTAGACTCACTCACCATTCCGATGAAAAATAACCCTTGAAGCACGCGACATTTTAAAATTCATCCTCCGAATCGGTAAACACACTTCCACTACTAATCTCCTCATCCTCATACTGATCGTCGTCCTCAGAATCACTGTCATCGCCCACTGCTACTCCATTCTCATCGGCATTCATGTCTGCCCAGTCATCGTTAAGGTCATCGTCATAAGCAGTGCTCGCTACTGCCCCCTTTGAACTGGACATCCCTCTACGATTGGGCTGGGTGAGCTTTGCGGTGGCGTTCAGTTCGTTTTTGCTGAAAAATGGATGAGTTTCGGTAAGGACCTTGCCTTGACAAACATATCCCATGGGTGTATGAGAGAAATCCTGGCCTTTGCGTCTAACACTCAACCATTCTTGCAGGAATGTTAGAGGTCTGGACGTAAAACCGACGGAGGTCTGATCTTTTCCATTGCCGTTTTCCGTGGCTTTCCCATCGATAACATGGCAATCTTCTTCCAAGCAGTCTTCTTGTAACTCTTCCATAGTCTTCTCTATTCCAAATCCCAAGAATCCACGAAGATACTCATATTGAGAGTACTCAAAGTAAAGAGCTCCCGAGAAGATACCTAACTGTACTGATAACCACGACGGCGCAATCCAGTCTTTTGAAAGTGTGGGTATAGCATAATATCGGAGATCATTGAAGTTAATAAGCATCTTGCGGGTCGTAGGAGCTGCATATGTCAAGAGAAAACATGCAGGAGCTAAACAGTCACGAAGAATTGGAATGAGGAGCTCCGTTTCTTCGGGTATCACGACTAACGCGGTTTCGGTAATAGGACTCCACAGAACCCAACTCACTTGACGCTAAACAATAAATGTTAACAAAAGTGTACATACAAAACATCATTTGAACCCAAATGAATCTTGGAAGTGTAATAGTCTCTCATGTCCGTTGAAACCCTCAAAGTCATCCAAGGTCCAAAACGAATTATGTGGAAGGAAATATTCTCCAAGGAGACTGTTAAGGCATAGAGCCAACTTACCAGAAAGTTATCATGTGGTTGAATCACTTTAACAGAACGCATGAATTCTCTAGACACGAATAGTCGAGAATTGAGAGCTTCAGCGTTGATTCCAAACTTCCTACCAATGTCGGTTTTTCTCAAAGCTACAAAGGCATGTTCACAACACTGTAGGGTCGGTTAGTCAGTATCGCTTATCAAAGAAGTTATTAGGGAGATAATGGGAAAGCAATAGATTAGTGACGTATCAAAATGGTCCATTGAATGGAATGAAAAAGCGGGAATTTGACATCAGGTAACGGAAGTAGATAGTAGAGGAAAGGTAATCGGCGGGCTGATTGAACTTACTGCAGAGCCTGCTGGAATTCGGCCAGTTCTGACAAAGGTTACAATGTCCTTTTCCAGCCCAGGGAATGACCAAGCGGTATAATGAATAGGTCTTTGAACCTCACGCACAGTCTCGACTTCGTAGGCAACTTCTCTCTCTTGTTCAACTTCTTGTAAAGCAGTATGATGAACAGCATCGCCAGTATCTCGAAAGCTTTTGCGCATTGCATTGAGCTCTTTGACAAAACTGGCTGTTTGGGGGGCCGATTCGCCAGTGCCAATTACAGTCTTGCTTTTGGTTTTAATTCCGTAAAGTTGATGTAAAGAAAGCTGCTCCTTTTGCCTGAGGGTATCTAGATACTGCTTTCGATGGTCCGCGTTGGTGAGGAAATCTACATTATCAGCAGCAGCCTGAACTCTACGGCAATAATCAATGCCTTGAGAATAATAAAGTGGCTGCATAAGCTCTATACCTATACACGTCTGCTCCAGAAGCCAACAGATGACATCGTACGAGTCTAGGTAATTACCATGGGTCTTTTTAACACAGTCCAATATGCTCTGATTCACCTCAGGTGGTGCGAAGAATATAACAGATTGAGTAGTCGCGAGTTGCCTCAGTCTCATTGCTGCCTGCACAGTATGATCTTTGCTTTGTCCAAGACCTATTCAAAATTAGTACCGGCGTCGCTGTTTTCGAAAATTATGAACTCACTTAAGGTTAGCGCTCCACAGGCATCAGCAGGCATTTTCAGATCAATTCCACGACAATGGGCTTCATCAAGATAAACAACAACGTTTCTTAAGTCATCGGAATATGGTGAAGCGGATAACGGCACTGGTCTGTACTTCTTATGGACCACCATCGGCTTTCCTGCTTCATCAAAGTAAACGGCGGCTTGTGCTTGTGGGTCGATCTCAAGCCATGTTCTTGCAAGCGACTCATTGCTCAACTCGAGAATCTGGGCTCCAGCATCGATGAGCACTCGGATGCGTAATTTCGAGATCTTGCGCAATAAGTCAATCTCAGAGAGATGCCGGCCTCGTTCGTCAGCTGCAACTACATATTGCCGGTTTCTGCGCTGAAGCAAGTAAGTAAGAACCTCAGAGTTGGTATGGGCAAGTCTCTCCAAGTCTTGCTGCTTGAGAGTGAGGGGCAGTAAGTTTCTATTATCATTAGTGCCGCTGAAGCCTGTCGTAATGGAATTTGGATTGTCCGCTGATGATAAAGGTATCTCCCAGCCGCTGGCCTGTAGTTTGAGGCTGAAGGATTTGGCGTGTGCCGGAAATACAAAATTGTTACAGTAGTAGTCGATGATTACTGGAGATAGATTGAAATGCGTCCATAACTCAAGCATTTGTTGTTCATCTTCAAGATTAATACTATTCCAATCCCGCAACGTATCAGGCAATACAGAACAGCTCATAGACCATTGATCATATATCGAAGCCGGATCATCTGATTTGAGAACATGCTCGAGGGCTTGATGCAATTGCTTGTTATTAAGTCCATCATAATAAAATGCTAAACAAGTAAGAAGTATTGCGACGTCTGGGTGGCCCCATTCAGCTTGATCTGAAGGTACACCTTTGCCATGGAATGGAACCGCAATAGGATCTCTATCGGGGTGAAGACCATATTGTACGTGCCACCTCTTTTTTAGCGCCAACAACAATATTCGGTGTACCAACAGACCGCGGACGTTTAAGAGATTGCGTTTCATTGCGGAGTTATCTGAAAATATACCTTTCACAACCTTAGATATACCTGTGGTAACCTTGGGCTTTGTTATAAAATC